AGCATCAATAGCCGAGTCGATTGAGCCCTGTCTGTCTGTCAAGGACTATAAGAGCTAGAGCAACGACATTTTATATCCGGACATCTGTGATATGTCATTGTTACAAGAATATTTCAAAACTTCGCACCGCCCACTTCCGCCCCCACAAATGCCGAAAATCTTTGGCATCCACAAGGACGAAAATCTGGGGCATCCACAAATCTCAGAGACTATTAAGGCTAGAGTAACCAAATTTGGTATCCACACTCCTGTTAGATCTCACTATTAAGCGTATATTTCAAAATTTCGTTCCCCTCTTTTTTTTTTAATTTTTGAGTTTTATTTCAAGCAGAAACAATACAAATCAAAAGTAATAAATATATTATAAATATTTTAATCCAAAAATAATAAATATTCAATAAAAATCTAGAATAATAATTATAATAATAATTATTCAATAAAAATCAAGAATAATAATTATACAATAAAAATCAAAAATAATAATTATCATAATAATTATTAAATAAAAATCACAAATAATAATTATTCAATAAAAATCAAGAATAATAATTATAATAATCATTATTCAATAAAAGTCAAAAATAATAATTACACAATAAAGATCAAAATTATTATTTTCGATTTTTATTGTATAATTATTATTATACCCAATACTCAAAATGAGTATAGAGGTATATTCGATTTTTGGTGAAAATGGATGTGGGTAACGTCCAGAAGGAAGCGTTTCCGGCCCTTGAAGGATATATATTCTTGATCAGCATCAATAGCCGAGTCGATTGAGGCCTGTCTGTCTGTCCGTCCGTCCGTCAGTCCGTCTCTATGAGCGCCTAGTGCTCAATGACTATAAGAGCTAGAGCAACGACATTTTGTATCCAAACTTCTGTAATATGTCACTATTACACGTATTTTTCAAAATTTCGCCCCACCTCCTTCCGCCCCGCAAATGACGAAAATCTGTGGCAACAATATTGAAGATACGAGAAAATTAAAAACGCACAATCATAGAAAATTACCATATATATCAGATTGCCGAATCTGGATCGGATCGAATTATTATTATAGCCAAAAGTGAGAAATCAGTCGCTACGCATCGCCCGACGACACGCTCAGACTGATTTTCTGTATCTCTCGCACGCACTCTTTGTCGTGTCGTGCAATGTTAGCGCCGACTGGTGGAGGAGAGCCATATTGACTAAGTATCGGGTATAAATGTAAAGTTGCGGTCGCCGCAGCAACTCACAACGTTTCCCCTCGCTATTAATTACAGTTCCTTAAAGTCTTCGGAAAACACGTTTTATTATTTAAGCACTAGTTTACCGTAGAACTTTATATTTTGAGTCGTGCGTTTAATATGTGGCTTGCAAAGTAGATCTCACAGCGGTCTCGGTTGTATCAGTTTTGGTTCGGCTTTTCATGTTTTCCTTTGATTTAACTGGTTTTTTTTATGATATCTCTTAAGAAACACCTAGTTTTACCAATTTTGTTCACTTATTTTCCATTTTCAAAGGATTACCGATTAATTTTTGAGGATTAATTGTCGGCTTGCAAAGTCGTATTCATGTGTCGCCCTTTTCAAGAACAGAAATGTAAGTTATTTCAATTAACTCTTTTCCTAGTCTATTTTAATGAATATTGCTATTAGTTTTACTAAAATTTATGCTAAATTGAATGAAGATTTGATACGAATTCAAATTCCCTGTTTTCTTTCGATTGTGCTGTGAATATTAGTGTTTTTATGTACATTTTTGGTGTTTCGTATTCAAGAGTCGGGGAGTTTTTATACAGATTGAGTATCGGGTATATTTGTGGAGCCGCGGGTAGGGCCGGCTCACAACGTTCCCGCTCCTTTATTTTAAATTCTTTCCTATTCTATTCTCTCGAATTTTTATAGTCAAATTACATATTTTCAGAAGCTATTCACCAAACTGTTATTTTGAACACCCTTATAGAATAAACGAATGAAATAAACGGATATATTTATGTAAATATGTATATATTCGTAAGTAGAAAGATGCTAAAGATGTTAAAAAGTCTTAAACTTATAGCTTCTTCTGAAGAAGAAGGATCGACCCGAAGAGGGCCGAATTCCTCTGGGATCTCTCGCTAAGAATTCTGTTACGGTGTTTTTGTTGCATGAAATGCCACATCACTATACGATAGTGCCGATAGTTCAATTTATGACATATAGATGGCTCTGCTACTATTGCTAACATCAACAATAGGTGTCCATGAAGTCATTAAACTATCTTTAACATAAATTTGGTTCCCATTAGTTTTTTGTGGCCCAATTCTGGGTTGCATTGCGGCGGTGATAGTCTGTGATCTTAATAATTAATTAATTAATAATTATTTCATATTAATAACAAGTGCTCCCTCACATGTTGTGATAAGTAGTTTCTACATTCTACATACGAATTATACATTATACATTACATGTAGATAGCAAGCAGGGTAACAAGCAGTCCTTAGCAACATTTTGGAGACATTTTCAAATTAACGGAGTTCCGTTTTTCTGGTGTCTGAATTGTACTTACACTTTTTTAATGTGCGTTTTGATGTGCGGTTCATTGGTTCATTGGTTCTTTCCTTATTTGGAGATAAAGAGAGAGAGCTGTACCTTCAAAAAGGCAATCTCTGACACCCCTATAGAGTTTGCAGAGAAATTGATTGGACATAAAAGTAACTGGTACATCAACAGACACCAGTCTTGCCTCGGGCCTTGCTGGTTCCACATTGAAGTATCTGGTCATTTCAGGTTAATTACTATGCGGCCACTCAATTTGCTCCAATAGCGATCAATAGCCGTGACTCTACTGAGTCAGTTTATATGTAAATATTTAGCTCTGAGCGCATCAAACAGAGAGAGAGAGAGATAGAGTAGATTTCGCGACTTATTGACGGAATATTCCATATTCCATAGGTATTTTTGTAGGTACATACAGACATACTTGGATGTCCGTTCCCCCTCACCTCCTATTGCGGGCCTTCTTATCACGGTTGCCTGGGGAAGAGTGTTTGTGAGAGAGAGAAAAAGCTTTCTTCTGGCTGTTACACTCATCTACACAAAAATAGTATTTCACTCCATATAGTCTCTTCGAGTACCGGGTAAAAAATATTAAAGTAAAGCTTATTTTCCATTTACCATTAAATAAAAGCCATGGAAATTCTCTGTAGTTATTTATTTACCGAATAATTTAAATTCACATTTATATAATATAACATGTACATTTTCATAATTTATATATATAGAATATACTCGTACTTAGGTTGTTGTGTAGTTTTCATGTGTATTTATATTTATACGTTGCTTGGTGTTACTCCCCAGTAACCCAGTAGTTTCTTCGGTTACAATAAGCCCATACACACCCAACATATTGAAGCCTGTGTACTAAATACACGTGTGTACATACTCGTATATAGGAAATATTGGAGGTGTATGCAGTTTCGTATATTTCAATTTGTTGTCTGTTTTTGATTTCATGTGTAAGTTCATGTTGTTCGGAGAGTTTCGTTTAAGTCGGAGGTACTTCAGCATTTCTTTTGATTTTGATTTTGATTTAGGTTTATTCATTTTTGAAAAGGATTTTAATGCAGGATTTCGTGTGTGTATAAATTTATATACTGGCTTCTTAGAGTATGTCTTTTCTTGTATAGTTAACACGTGCTGTGTCCTTTTTCAAGTCTTTGTTGAAAATTGTTAAATTAGATACATTATGTTATAATTAGTAGTCGGATTATTTGTATATTTATGTAGTATGTATATAGCATGTTTTACACATGCATTAGTATCTTAAGGACATACATATTTCCCAACAACACCAAAAACACACGCATATCATTATTAAAAAAAAAACATCAGCAGTCCCTTCTTCCTCCTATCGCTCTTAGAAATAAGAAATAAGAAATAAGATGGCACGCCGAGTGGAGTGGTTGAATGTCTCGTTGTAAGTAGATGCATATAAAGCAAGTCGGAGTGGTTGAGAAATGCCTGTGGATTACCCCTTTTCGGGGCACCCCCTAGATATACTCGTACTGAGTTGGAAGGAATATTTAAGTTAACAATTAGCATAAGTTTTATGCCCTCTCTCTTGCGGAGCTGCGGAGAAGCTGTCGCTGTCGCTGTCGTTGACGAGAAACACACATGGCACAGCACACACCCATTCAAGTACACCTAGGATCGCATTGCAAAAGGACAACAGCAGGATGGCAATTTGTCAACTGTCGCCGGCACAAAAGAGACTCCACTCTCCACTCTCCACTCTACTCCTTTGGATGGTTTTTGTCGTCTGAGCCAATTTGAGGGAGGTTTCCTTCCTACATGATTGACGACCACTCACCTATACGACCTACACGACCTACACGATACGGAAAGTATGGCCCGCTCCTTATGCGGTGCGGTATATGAATGTGTATAGTATTCATAATTATTTAAGAAATGCACACTTGAATGCCTCTCAGAAGAAGAGAAAGAAGGCTCCCTCCGCTCCTCAAGTCCTCAAACTGTTGACGTCGATTGAGATGTCAACGAGTCTGGTTGACATGTGTAAGTATTATGTATGTGCGATTACCATTTCTTTCATTTATTGTTTCTGTGCTTTTTGTCAGGATTTCACTTATAACCGTTGCACAAAATGCACAACAGAAACGTTTAACAAATTGCCCTTTCTTTACTGGAAATCTGTCAGTTTTCTTTCCGGTGTAGGAACTTTTGATTTGAGCTTAATGGAGGGTAAGTTCCCGCTTGGTTGAAGCCTATGAACGAGCATAGCCGACAAATATACAAATATGTAGATTTGACTTTGATTTTTCCAGTTGAGATTTCAAACATTTAGTGGCTCAAACTGTGCAGCTAGGACTCCGCTTATATATTCTGGTTCTCGTTTAAGGTTCAATGGAATATTCATTCACGGGTACGGATACGGATACGGATACGGATACAGGTACGGATACGGGTACGGATACGGATACGATTACAGTTACAGACACACAGATACACAGTATACAGTTACAGATTTAGATACAGACACGATGCTGCTGCAATTACATATTTGAAAATCATAATTATTTAATGGGTGTCCCCCAGCATACTGTGATATTGTACGGATAGGATAATGTTTGATTCCAGCGGATGCCTGGACGCCTAGCGGATATAGTGCCACATGGCCGTGGGCTTGCGGGCATTGTTAATCATGTCGTGCCAGTGCTGGCAGCCGGTGCCGCTCTCCTGGGGGCCAAGGCCGCAACAGCCAATTTCCGCTGCCTCGCTACCGGCTCCAACCACATAGATCTGCGGAGGGAGATGAGAGGTGGAGAGGAATTTTCAATTAAAACAGGGCCGACATAAAATGACGACATAAAATTGGCTCGAATTAGCGGTTAAAGCCGTTAAAAAAAGGAGACGGCCTCTTCCTTCAGTTGACTGCCGCCGAAAGGTCAAAGGTTACCTCAATGGCCGCACTGTGCAGATAATTTGATTGCAGATTAAACGTGAACGCCTCGTTCCAGATGGGATTGGTGGGATCGTCCGACTTGGTAATGCTGGTCTTCTTCTTCTTGATGCGCTTGCCATTTTGAATCAGATAAATCTGTGAAGTATCCAGATCCAACAGATTAAAAAGGGCTCAAGCACTTACAGTCCTCTTCCCCATAGGGTGAGGGAGCGAACCCAACCCACCTTGACATACGGCTCCTGTACAGTGTCCAGATTTCGGGCCTTCATTATAACAATCGTCAGACGTTCCGCCTGGGGTAAGTAGTTCAACGAGCACAGCAACTCCGGTCGATCCTCTTTGGGCTTCTTAGTCCGCAGCAAATCTCCCCAGATCTAGGGGTACAATCGTATGATAAGTAGGCATTCTACTTCCCTCTACACTCTACTCTACTACTCACCTCAACCGACTTGGACAGGTCCAAGCCGTCAACGGAGAGGCGAACCTCCCCAATGATGTCGTTATGGGAATAGCGATCGTAGTCGAGCACCTGGAGGATCAGTTCCTTGCCCTGCAGCTGATCTCGCGAAACCGGAAACTTGAAGTGCTGGTCAAAGTACGGATTCGATTCGCCGCGATGGATGTGCGTCTGTCGCTTCCGGCTGTCCACTTCTGGCTGGAGCATCAGACGGACGTAGGGGTCGCGGAAGCCACCCTCCTCGATGGGGCTAAGATTGTGAGCTGGTGGGGGGGCGGAGCGGAGCGTTAAGGTTTACATATTTACTTATTAACGCTCCGTACAAACCTTCAATCAGATGCACTGTCAGATCAAACAGATGGTAGTCGTATTTCACACGCAGGTGAAGCCGACCGACGGCGTGACTCGACTCCGGCGCTGTTAGGTAGACGGGTCCGTCCGGCAATCGATATAGGTCCGGCTGGAGCGCCCCCAAGGGAGACGCTGGACCCATGGCGGGATCCATGCCGGGCTGCGATCTTGGCGGTATCAGCAGCGGCGACAGGCAGCGACCCCCGGCCACGCCCACAACACGACTAGAGCCGCCCACAACAGCAGTGGCTCCGGCCAGAGAGGCGAGGCTGCTCTGCGAGGGACTGGGCGTGCGCAAGTCCCCCGGATCGGCGGCGTGAGCGGGACTTCCGCACCTGGCGTCCAGCGAGATGGTGCGCATCGGACTGGGCGATCGGGCCAGGTGGTGTGGGAAAGCCGGCTCGCTCGGCAGCGAGCTACGTCCGTCCGGTCCGAAGGTCCGTATTTGGGGGGAGGAGCCGCGATGACCCTGCGTTTCGAACATTCGATGATGAGCACGAAATGGTGGGCCACCGGGAGGGACACAAAGAAGGGCACTCACCGAATGCCGGGACGGGGCACTGTCCACGCTGCTCTGGCTGGATATGGACGGTGTGCGCTGCAGACGCGGCGGAAACGAGCGGCTCTGGTGGTGCAAGTGCAAGGGGCTGTGAAAGACTTCGACGGGGCCGCGCAAGATGTCCGATCCGGCCACCGTTCCCGGTCCCATGTGATGGTTGACACCCATGGCCAGGCCATGCATCTGAGTGGGCGGCTGGATGGGTTGCGATTCCTTGGCTATGTTGACTTCCTGCGGGAACACAATCAAACATACAGACATTGGGTCTGGGTTAATGCACTTCTCGAAGAGACTCCGCCTAATATAATAAGAACCTCCGAGTCCGTGGTCAAATCACAGCTATCGCTGCCACTACCGGCCGAAACGCTTCCTATTCCACTGGTGGTGGATGTCACGGACGAGGCCGACGGCGGCGGTGTCATCGGTTGTGGCGGCGGTGTTGTCGAGGGGCCCGAGCTGGGGGCTGCGGCTGCTGCTGCAGCGGCAGGGGCTGTCTCGCCAGTGGGCAGGGTCTGTATGGTGCTACTGCCCGCAGTACTGCTCCCACTGGCACTGCTCTCGTCCCCGGAGTTTCGATCGATGGTGACGCGCCGAACCGCACCCACGCGCTCCTTGGCCATCCGGGACCAGGACTCGATACGTTTGTGCGCCAGCCAACAGGCTGCCGGACCCAGGCCGCTCATCGCTTCGAATTAACAAGGACAATGGCTATCTCTATTCAACAGTGGTCCTTGGCTCTGTGCTTGTCCTGAGAAATGAGAAGGTACTGTTGCTGGGCTACATGGAACTGTTCGGCCAAGCTGGCAAGTTGGCTGCTCCAATGCTCCCCTGTCTACGTAGGCTCCCCCCTCCCACACAAATGGCAGGATTCACTTCCAGCGTAAATCCGATTAGGGAAATACACTCACACATTATTACACGAGACCAGGCCACAGGACACAGGACACAGGACACAAGGCAAGGATGTGTAAGCGGATGAGAGAGAGTGCGGTTTCGGTCGGTTGTCAGCCTGGAAAGGGCGTTAATTCCGAGTATGCTCATGTAAGGACCATCAGATGTGGTTCACAAATGCGATGATCACTAGCCATGACAACCAACGAACCAGAGAGCACTCGAGGATGGTGAAGGGGGAGCCTGAGCTAATCAGTCGTGCACCTACTTTTTATTATTTGCCTAATTATCCAGCAAGATGAAATCAATCACAAAAATCCCATTAAACCTCTTAAATCTCTGCAAAATGCTCCCATGCAAAACATGTCCGACCCGTTGTAACAATCCTTACAGTTCTGAAAAATCATTCACACTCGGAAAGGAAAGGAAAGCAAAGCAGGCATTCCTTGCCTTAACAATTCCCAAGCGAGCGATTTGTCTTACGCTCGAGATTTCGCTTTCGCTGCTGCTTTTGCATTCCTCTCCTCTCCTCTCGTCTCCTGTTCGCTCCACTCCTCTACCGTTTCCATTCCGTTGCCCGTTACGCAGCGTGGCGAAAGGCGAAATTCGAATTCATTGGCAGTTGTACACGCCCAAGTGCCGCCGTTTAATCGAAGGACCGAGTGTGTGCAACGTATCAGTGGACAAGGAGCCGGAGAGGAGGGGTTGTACTCGCACAATACAAAAGTGAACAAAAACGTATTTTTCAAGTATTAAATAAATTAAATGAAATTAAGCACGTGTAGCGAATGACATCAAAACATGGCAACAACCCAGAAAAGAAAGAATACTTCCAGAGACGGCTCCCTCTCGCTCTCGCTCTCGTGCTCACTCTCGTTCTCCTTCTCCCTCTCCCTCTCCCTCTCCCTCTCCGGAAGGGAGTGGTGACATAGAGAGCGGTAAATGAAACGAACCGAAATCCAGGACCAACCCTCAAATTAGTTTGGATAATAAAACTGTGCTCTGCTCGGTCAATGATAAATATTGTCCAGGTCGCCTGTGCCGCACTCACACGCACACACGGAGGATGATAGCTCCGCTCCCAACGTGTCTGTGGCATGTCGCAGATCTGGTAAAAGGATTTTTATTGATTTCGTAGCGTTTCATAGCCGTAACTCGGGTAATACATCACTCTCTATGTTTTTTGGCTGTCATCGGTTTAACGGATGGCACAGAACGCGCCGTAACCCGTAAAGTGGCTCTAAAATCGATTGATTAAGAAAACTGAACATCAAGTTTAGGATTAAACCTACTCGTATACGGAACAAAAAGAGAAGAGTAGAATGGGAACAAATTGTTAACTTCAAAGCTTTAATAGGAAGGAGGAATACGGAAAGTTCTGTCCCTTAAAATGGAGAAATGGAGTCTTATTAAATGAACTTAATAAAAAGGAATACGAACGCTGTGAGAGGCGCCTTTTACACCCTATACTCAGTCAGTATATATGTGACCTCATGATTTATTTAGCTTGTACAATATATTTGATACGTAAGTAAAAAATTTCGCGAAATTTTGCTCAATGCGGGATGGGGAAATATCTCCGCGATCTCATTTGCTCTCATTTGTTATGAGAGGTGGGAAAAAGATAGAGAAAAAGAGAGGAACGCATGTCATGTATAATACGCATGTATAATACTGATCCGGCTATAATACTGATCCGATCTGATCCAGATTCGATAACCTATTAGATATGATAATTCATGTCAGGAAGGAAGTGATATACTTAAAACAGTGTTATATGATACGAAATTTGGTCTCTCCAGCTCTTATAGTCTCTGAGATCTGGGTGGATCGACTTTTAATGCTAATCAAGAATATATATAGTACTTTGTGGGGTCGAAAACGCTTTCTTCTGGGTGTTACACATATCCACATCCACCCAAACTCTTCGAGTAACGGGTATGAAAGTGTATCCTCTCAAATTACAATTTCGATTCCAACGTGCAATATCAATCACATGTGGCACTCAAACTTAGTAATAACAAAGGATTATAATCGGTAACTTAAATTAAAAATTAAATTAAACTGGCAAAACAATTACTATGGGGTAATGTTGAGTAATATTTTCGTGGCCGGGTATCATACTCAGGATTCTGAAGTGCGAACACTAATCCCTTCTCGATCCCTTCGGCTATCAGCCAAGTGTGCATCAAGAGAGGACCCTCCCGTCCCGTCCCGTCCCGTAACATCCCACAGGAGTGGAGAGCACGAGAACTGCGAAAACATCAACGATAATTCCATTAAGATTCAGCCAACCGCACCGTTGCTAATTGACACCTATGTAAACTGCATTCAAAGCGATAAACAGCCAAGCCCACAATTTTCACAATTTTCACATTTTTCACCCCAAAATGATTGAAAAAATCCCTGCAAAAGTACCCCAAACAAAGGACAAAAGAGAGACGAGAGTGAGCTAGCCGCACCCTGTGGAAAGCATGTGGCATATGGAAAGGTGTTGCATGTGGCATCAACTGCAACCTATCATCACCAGCCGCCAAGGCCAAGCCAACCCCTAGGCCTCATCTCGAGTGCCCAAATATCAAATTGAAATTTTCCACTTTGTTTGATATTGTTAGGGATTGCCAAATGGGATTTTCATGGTTCGAACAGTAATTTGTCAGAGTAGAGCGCATCTGAGCTTCGGTTTGCAACTCTTAACGTTCAACGTTCAACGTCCATCTTTTTTGTTCTTTGCTTTTTCCTTTTCTACTTCCTTGCCTTATGAGCTTTCCCCCAGATTGAGTGCTAAACCATTGGCCGTGATGTGTTTGTATGCAGTAACACGATAAAGCTCTCAGGCTGACTTCAGGCTGACACTTCCCTGATGTACTCTCGTACTTCAAACGCCTTCCCTAACTGAGAACGACAGATACTCATGGATTTATGTGTGCAGCAGTCACCAGAAATGGTGGCTGCTCCGGCTCTGACGCAACTTTTTCGATTAAAGTGTTGTGCATCCGGCATTTTCTAATTAGTTCTCCAAAGTCATTTCAAACTTGTGGCCCCAGCACCAGCTTCAGCTCGTGGAAACTTTTATGAAATCCGCCGGGAGGGCCAAGACAACCTTCGGTTGATCGTTAACCTACATACGAGTATATTCAAAAACAATACTACGAGTCGAACCGAACTGGACTCGATTCAGTAGTAATCCCTTGGTTTCATCATGAGAGGACCTGATAGAGCCCGACCCTCTAAATCGAAGCACAATGAGGCGGAGGGGATAGGGGATCCTTGCAAGGACAAGCTGTGTGGGTCGGACAAAGGGTAGCCTCCACGTATCCCACGGCATCCGGGTCCCATAGTTAATTTCCGCTCGAAGAAGAGAAGCCCGAATCCGATTAGCCACAAAGTTGCAACATTTTGTATGCGCCACGGCACGCAAATTGCACTTACTTTGCCCCGGTATCTGTGGGTTGTCCCATTTGCGTGCGTCGAAACCGCAAAAGAATATGTGTACGGGCATGTGTACAGACGTGAGTTTGTCCAGTGGAAATGGTCAGCATCTGTTGACAGACACCTATGGGAGCCATAGGAGCTGTCCCTCTCTGTCCCCGCTCCCGGCCATTGCGGCTGTCGGTGGCAGACAGTTTTCCTCTCACCCCCGTTATGGCTGTCATTGTGCTGCATACATTTTAATCCTATTAGCACAATAGTTACTGTTATTTCATATTGCAGTAATTTTTCTAGATTGCTCTCCCTGCCACAGACACGACGCAGCAGCAGCAGCAGCAGCAGCAGCGGCAGCGGCAGGAACCACATAGACTGTCATTCCTGTCTGCTGTGGCCTTGAGCTTGAGCTTAGTCAGCGCCAGCGCCAGCTCCAGCTCCACTCCCACCGGCTGCACTCCAGCTGAAGGCCACACCAACACCCCTCCCCCCACGGCACTTTCAGCTGAGAATGGAAATGGAAATGGAAATTGTCATCGCTGTTGTGGCTGTTCTTCCTGTGGTCTGTTGTTTGTGTTTGTGCTTGTGTTTGTATACCCTTCAGGTGCGACCCCATAAATTCTCGATGAGAGTCCGCAGTCAATTCGATACATCCCATCACGAGCCGATGCAAGGATCTGGCCAGGGTATCGGCCGATTCGGTCCACGAAGGTGGCCGTTCAATGTTTGCTTTTTATTGTACATACACACTCGGACACACGTACATATGTATGCATAAATATCCTGTGGTATTGGTGGTTTCAATGGATGGCCGGTTGGTCAGGGCACTCAAGGTGTGGCTTTGCAGTCGTCAAATGGCTGAAAGCCTTTCTGCGTGCTATGGCCAGGTACTCGGGGCTTCGACATCTTCAGAGAGAGAACAATGTGGCTGTAGAAAGGCAGGGAAATAGCAAAGTAGAGCTGGTCAAGGCTTTGCCAGAAACAGAAACGTTTTGCATTCTATAAAAGAGGAGCCACAGGCCTACAGTTCAATTTCAACTTCAAAGATGGGGATTTATTGCAGAAATTTGTACTTTGGCTTAACCAAAGTCATTAGAACTGTAAGAGCTCCTCTGATACTGATGCTGATACTGATACTCCTCTGATAAGGAATATACCATATTCCTTAGGCCTTGGACAGCTGTCGGTGAGTGGGGAGAAACGACTGGACAACTCATTAAAGACCCGAACCGAACCCAACCTCTGCACCCACCTAAGGATAATCCAACCTACTGCAAAAAAAAAAACAATTAGGAGTCAACTTTATTGTTGTTTTGACAAAGCCAAACAATTGGCCGGCTAACTTTTGACACACGTCTGCTAAGCCGTAATGTGAGCCGGGCTAAAACGGAACAGGGCACAGAACAGGAACACGGCTCAAATGAACAGCGC